CCCGCCCAATAAAGCGCGTTGTGGCCCCATAGGGGCTCCACCGAAGGTCCCCGTGGCGCAATCCGCATGCGTTTCCCCCACCCACTACACCTCCGTCGGAGGCCGTCGGAGTTCCGCGCCTCGCTCGCCCGTCGTCGCTCTGCCCAGCGGCAAGAGCCTTGCCCGCTCTCAGCCAGCCAGCCCGCGCAGCGGGCGACCCGCGCGCGTCGCTGGGACCCCTCCGGGGCGACCTGCGCGCGTCGCGGGGACTCCGCGCTGCGCTGCGCCCGCAGCCTTGGACTTTTGAGTGCGCGGTAAAGAGGGAGTAAAAGAAGAGGAGGAAGCGGGCGCGATCCTCGCGGGGGGGCGCGCCGACATTGGCGTCGCGGCGCGCGGGCGATGCCGTCGGGGAGTCCCGGGGAAGCTCCTTGTGGCGGCCACGCCCAGCGTCACGAGTATTCAGATGCAGTCATTCTCAAACGATTGGCATTCATATAGAATTACACCATGCTTTGTTGGCATTTATATAGAATTACACCATGCTTTGTCAGATTCGCATTCATGCACGTAGACTCGCTCGCACGCAGATTCACTCAAAGTCAGACGCACTCGCGCTCAGATTCGCCCGCGTTCAGTCTCCCCACATGCTCAGATCAATCGTTTTCGTTCGCGCTGTGTACCGCGCCACTCATTTCGGCGATCTGGGGGGCTTCTTGGGCCGTCTTGGGGCGATCTGGGGGGCTTCTTGGGCCGTCCTGGAGCCTCGGGAAGAGGAAGAGGCGAGAACGCCGAAAGGCTTCAAACATTGACAGGACATCCGGAGTTTCTCCTCTTGGGCCTCTCCCCATGCATTTTGGGGCGTCCTGCAGGTTTCAAGGCCATCTGGAGGCTGTCAAAAACGTCTTGGACTGATCGTTCGGCGATTCTGGGCCCTCTTGGAAGGTTTTGGGCACCTCTGTGGGCGCTCCTGGCCCGTTTGCGCGCGCTCTCGTGAGGCCGGCCCCCGCCTCTGGGGCCGTGGTGTTCGGACCCTGGACCTCGCTGCGACCCCCCCCTCCCCTGAGACCCGCCCGGGATCCCCCCCCTTGGACCACCTCCCAGGGACCCTTCCCCCCTTGGCGAGGCAGGGATGAGTGGGATGGGGCTTTCCCCTTCGAATCAATGACGACGTTGTTGCACTTCGCTCTTGCTTTGGCATTCCGCTTTCGCTTTGGCTGGCGCGCCTGAGGAGGAGGAGCGCCAACAAAAAGGGGATGGAGCGGGGACGACGGCGACGGCGACGACGACGACGACGAGTCGGAACAGCGTCAAAAGCCTCTTCGGGATAGGAGGGAAAGCGGCGACGACGACGAGGACAGCCTCTTCTACACGCAACAGGGTCCGCGAATTGTATCTCACAGTTGGTCGGTCAAGCACCTGGGACAGCATGGGTCTCCATACACACCGAGGTGCAACACCGGATCAAGGCAGGCTGGGCAGCCTCGCCACCCATATGCAAAATTTATCAGGGAAACGTTGTCCCTTGTAACCAAGACTCCAGCTGTTCGACGGCACTGTCACAACGACGATACTATATGGGGCGGCAACTTGGACTCTGACCGTTCCTTTGCGACGACAGCTACGATGCACCGAACGTTGCATGCCACGTATGACTGTCGTTTCCCCGCGTCCACGTTGCACCGCTGGTACGAGACATAACTCTAGCTCGACTTACCATTACAACGTGTGCGCCGCAAAAGTGGCGAAGCAGTCCCATCAATAATGGTCTCAGTGTGCTGCCAATTGGCAAATTCCTCTCCGTATTTCTCCGAGAAGGGCACAGGAGTTCGGGAGGACAGAAGAAACGATGGGACGATGGCGTGCGTTTTACTTCTCTATCCCACGGCGTGCAAAAGCGACCTTCCCGTAGCAGCTGCGACGTGCACCACACCGATTGGTCCAAGCTGGCAATCGAAGATGCCATTTGGAGTAGGTTTAAGTCGGACGTGTCCTTCTACAGAAGGAATATGGGGACGATGTTGGTTTAACATGTTCGACAATTTTGGTGTATGTTTGATTGTTGCTTCGTCCGAAAAGCGCCTGTAGGGGGACATGCCCGACCTAAGCGTAGCTGGAGGCGCCAGCTATCTGTCCTGGGCTCCACTCCTCGTGCTTCTGCCTCGCCGCTTCGCTCTGAGCTGCTCCAGCCCGCAGAAGCCATGTCTCTTGTCTGCAGGAGGCCACGGCCTCGCCCGCTCCGCCCTGGGAAAAAGAGAGGCCCCGGCGATCGCCCGCTCGAGAGTCCCCCCTCGCACTCCCGTTCCCCAGCCTCGGCCAGAAAGCGGGCTTCAGAGGTCCTGGTCCCGTTCTCCTCAGGGCCGCTGGAGGGAGACCTCCTCTTGCACCTCCTCCTCCTCCTCCTGATTCTCTGCCTTCTCCTCCTGCTCCTCCTCCTTTTTCTTCCACGGTTCCTCCTTGGCTAGATGCTTGGGGAGCGGGGGTGCCGGGCCTTCCGCGCCCCCTTGCGGATTTGGGAGCGGTT